CTTTCTGTCTCTCTGTCTCTCTCTGTCTGTCTGGCGAGTGCACGCCCCCCATGGCAAAAACCTCCCAAAAAAAAAAAAAAAAAAGAAAGAAAGAAATTTCAGTATTATAGAACTATAAAATTGCAGAAGTGCCAATTCAGCTCCCTGGCCTAGTGGTTAAGGCAGCCACTTCCCACATGGCTGACTGCAGTTCTTGACCTAGAAATCTGAGAAAACATGCGAGACTCATGTGCATGCATGCCCAAAATTTCAAAAAGAGAGAAATGAAGGGATTGCAGTATGACCATTCTCTACAAGGGTACTTTCCTCTCTCCTTTTCTTTCTCTCTGGAGACTATATGCACCCTCTGGCCAAAAAAGAAAAAGAAAAAACCAACACCTTTCAGAAGTGCATATTCCCTGTATTTTCTTGATTCCCAACAAGTTCAGTTATTTTTGTGTATATTCTTTCAGATTTTTCTACATATGTACCGATATATTTTTTAATATATTTACAAGTGTTTATTCTATACTTAGTATTTTACAGCTTGCTTTTTCTCACTTAATAATTTATCTTGACTATCTTTCTATATAAAACTATTAGATGTATAGCACTATAACATCCTTTTAACATTTATTATATAAATGCTATAGAATTTATTAGTCAGGTCCCATGTTAATGCCTGAGTTGGTTTCATCTTTGTTATTAAGCAGTGATATACTAAGCATCTTTATACAGGGAGTTGTGTTTTTTGGAAAGGTTTTTGCTATAGGGCACATGCGCTCGCCAGAAAGACAAAAAGAGATAGACAGAAAGCGAGAAATCACCACTGAGGGAGGATGGCCACGCCACAGTCTTTTCTCCTCCATTCTCCTCTCGGGATCTTGGGCACACATGCAAACATGCCCGGCATGAGTTTAAGCCACCGAGTCCAAGACTCAAACTGCGGTCTGCTACTTGGGAGTCCAGTGACATAGCCATTATGCCAACTGCTGGTCCCGGGAGTTGTATTCTTTAGTGATACATTAACATGGTTCAAAAGGCAATAGTATCGGGGCCAGCAGGTGGGGTGGTGATTAAGGCACTGGATTCTCACAGGGCTGACTGTGGTGAGGGTCCCAGACCAGGCAACCTGAAAATCATGAAAAATAAATGCATACATAAATAAATTTTTTTTAAGTCAGTAGTATGAAGGAAGTATACTGTGAAATTTACTCTCTGCCTCCCATTCAACCTATTTTGCCTACCCAAAAGAACTAATTATTATTATATGTTATATAACATTGTATGTATAATAATATTAATTGTTTGCATAGTATATGTGCTATTACTAGTTTCTTGTATATCTTCCCAGGGATTTAATTTATGATGCCTGAATAAGCAAATATGTCTATATTCCCCCCAAAATACTGGTCTGTATTTTGTATTTGCACTTATTTTATCTTGAAAGTCTTTCCACATTTGCAAGGAGCTTAATTCCTTCATTTTTTTAAATTTATTTAATTTTATTTATTATTATTATTTTCAAAATTTGACCAGAGAAAGAGAGAGAGGAGAAGTGAGAACTTGAGCCACCATTTTCAGGACTTAAACCGCAATCAGACATGTAGGAGTCGAGCGCCTTAACCATTATGCCACCTGATGTCCCCCTTAATTCCTTGTTTAAGGCTTAAAGTATGTCATTGTATGGATGTATAAAATTTAGCTAACTAGTTCTGTACTGGTAAATACTAAATTTGTTTTCTGGCCAACCATTGGCATAATGATTAAGGTAACCAGATTCCACAGGGCTAATGGCAGTTCAAGCTCCAGACCCTATGGCTTGAAAAGCATAGGACCCTGTAGGGGATGCACTCAGAGACTCACTCACTCACTCTCTCTCTCTCTCTCTCTCTCTCTCTTTCTCTCTCTCTCTTTCTGTCTGCCTCACTCATCAGTCATGGAAGAAATAACTTTTTTATTTTTTTAAGTTTGCTAAAGGGGCATTTGCTTGCCTGAGAGAGAGAAAGAAATCACCCCCCAGGAAGGATGACCGTATCACAATTCCCCCTTCTCCATCCTTCTTTTGGGATTTTGGTCATGCACACACAGGTGCCCAGCATGATTTTCAAGGCTCTAGGTCCAGGACTTGAACTATGCAGTTGGCCACGTGGGATCCAGCTGTCTTAACCTCATTCCACCTGCTAACCCCATAAATAAACAATTTTTTTTAAGTTAATGAGGTCCAAAGAATTGAAAGCCGTCAAAACCCATACTCATTTGACAAGGGATCTGAGCATATTCATTGATTGAATAAAGCAAACCTCTATCCCATGTATATATGAAATGAATCATAGCATTGAGACCTATGAAATTTACATATTTCAAATTTCAAGAGTAATAATTATATATTCCCTTTTTAAAATTATTTTATTTAACCTTATTTATTATTTATTCATTTGTTTATTTAAATTTGACCAGAGAAGGACAGAGTGAGAGTGAGAGAGAGAGAGAGAAAGTGAGAAAGTTTTTACCTTAGGGTGCATGAGCTCGCTGAGAAGAGAAACAATGACAGTGAGAGGGAAAGTTAGAAATCTCTCCCCAGGGGCATGGGCACACCGTAGTACCTTCTCCTCCACCCTCCTGGTATCTTGGGCACACGCACACATGCCTGGCATGAGTTTCAAGCAACCAGGTCTAGAACTTGAACCACAGCCAGCCATGTGAGGAGTTCAGCAACAACATAAACTGTGCCATCTGCTGGCCCCGATAATGATACATACTTAAAGGTAAAAATTCTTAAAAGATAAATTTTACTAGAGATTCTGTGCATCCCTGAATCTCTCCCATAACTTACCTTAATTTTTAAAATTCTCGATAAGTGGCATTCCATGGCAACTTTTGTTTGTTTTTAGTTTTTGTTATAGTGCACATGCACTTGCCAGAAAGAGACAGACAGAGATAGAGAGAAAGAAAGTGATAAATCACCCCACAGTGGGTATGACTATGCCACAATCCCTTCTCCATTTTCCTCTTGGGATTTTGGGCATGCATGCACATGTGCCCAGCGTGACATTTTTAATTGAAGGCTAAAAGGAAGGAAATGCCAGTTTATGGAGCATACGTCCAGAGGCCTCTGGTTGATTTCGTCTTTGATTACCTATAGCACATTGCCCTTTTTGGTTTTTTAATCACTTTGTTTTTCTTTCTTTTTTTCTTCTTTCTTTCTTCCTTCTTTTTTCCTTTATTTCTTCTTTTTTTAATTGCTAGAGGGTATATGTGCTTGCCAGAAACAGACAGAGAAAGGAGGGAAAAGGCAACCCCCAATGCAATGTGATCATGCAACAATCCCTTCTCTATTGCTCTATCTTGTCAAGATTAGGGGTTATGCATGCACACATGCCTGGCTTGTTTATCAAGCAAGCCACCAGGGGTGGGATTCATACTATGTGGTTGGTCATATTATATCTGTACCCCTTACCACTAGGCCATGGGGCTGACCCAGTTTTTTCTGACGTTCAAAAGATTTCTTACCTTATGATGGTAAAGAAAAATGGGACAAATTTCAAATATGCAAGGATAATAATTGTATGTTCTTTTGTTTGTTTTTGATTTTTATTTGCCATGGGCCATGCACTCACCAAAGAGAGACAGACCGTGAGAGGGAAATAAGAAATGACCTCCCAGTGGGAATGGCTACATCACAGTCCCTTCTCCTTCATCCTCCTCTCGGGATCTGAGGCACACACGCATATGTGCCTGGTGTGATTTTTTTTTCAAGCCTCCAGGTCCAAGACTTGAACCATGGTCTGCCGTGTGGAAGTCCAGTGCCCTAACCACCATGCCACCTGCTGGCCCCAATAATTGTATGCTCTTAAAGATAGAATCCTTAGACAAATTCTAATATTCTGTGCATCCATGAATTTTGGGGGTAAGAGGAATCTATTCTGCTCTTGCCTCTCTAGTGATACATTGCTAAGTTTCTACTTGTCATTTTCTCTCCTGCAGTGACTAAAAGCAAGGCTGTGTGACATTCCATGTTGGAGAAAAACAGGAAAACCAGTTGAACACTCTAAAGTGGAACATAGGATCTATAGCCTTGTCTGTGGCTCAAGACCCTGGCCTTGTGTACAAAAATGAAGAAATCCTGCAATAGCTAAGCTGAACATCTAACACTAGCTGTCTCCTACTAGAAATCCCCTTACTGAGCACATAACTATAAATACATGTAAAATTACATGTATATGGCTATATTTTTATTTGCTTGCTCCTAAAAGAGAAAAAATTTCAACTTTGAATCACAACTAGGAATTGATGCTTTAATTTTGAGAAAGTTTTTCATAATTTTTAATTTACTATGGTTCAGTCTGCCTGAGATCCTCTGTTATATCAGGTTTTGTGCACAAAAAACAGCACAGGTCAAGTACATATGGGGCATGTGCTTTCTGTGCACTAAATTCCTGGATGAGATTCTTCTTTCAGGCCTATAGTCAAATCTGTGTCCAGAATTTTTTGACCTTTTTGCTTTGTATAATCATAGAAGTTCATTGCTGCTGATTTCTATAATGATTCATGTTGTCATGTAAGTGTCTCTTAATAACTGAGGGCTGTCAACCTGTGATTTTGCCTTTTCTATTGTCTTACTCCCATGAAGAACCTTTGTTCTGAAGGAGAAAGACTGAAAAGCTTTATCCCCCACCCCCAGATATCTTTATATTTCTATTATATTTTTTAGTTGTGTACTATGTGCTACAGATTCTTTTCAGTTTGTTACAAACACAATTTGGTAATTCCTAAATTGGCTCTTCCTGCCTTCAAACAGAAACATCTGTACAAATCTTGCGAGTATATAATGGAATACTTTCTAGTAAAATGAACTCAAATTTCCTGAAATTTGTGAGAGAATATATGGTATTACTTGTTAGAGTAAAATCAGACTGTTTGACATTTGATTCAATATTTCTAGTATTTAGTAACAAGTGTGTTGGTTCTAGTTCGAATCAGTTTATGGTATATTGCAAAGTATACATAGATAATGTGAGTAGTGCTCCCTATCGCCTCTTGATCAGAAACTCCAACAAAGCAGTCAAGGATTCCACATGATTCAAACTGAAATGCTTCCTTAGTTGCAATAGGAATTTAAAATGTAAAATACCTTTTTTAGTTTTAGTCCTCTGTGAAAAACCTAGGAGCATGGAGTTGAGGCAAGGAATGGTACTCATTGAAGTCAAAATGACTGCCCACTTCAAAATCTTCATTGTGTTTACACAGAAATGCGTTTATATTAACCAGAGGCATTTGTAGATACTTTGCTGAGTTGTTCACCTCTATAGAAACACAGAAATCTGACCCATTTTGGAAAGTAGAAAGTCATGTCACATAGAACATGTCCTGTATATATTCCATACATGGTAATGGAGTCTTAATGATAAATGCAAGATGATAATTTAATGATGGGATTAGTCTGATCACTTAAGAGTGTAATCCTGGAAGTGAATTACTTGCATCAGATATAGTGATATTTATTATTCTGTACAGAGAGAAAAATACATATAAAACATATGCTTACATTACATGCACGCAGATTTCATGCTCCATAAATCTTTTCTATTTTTTAATTTACCTTTCTCTAAATGATGTGCATGGAATATGCCTTATTACAGAAAAATGCTGTTCATAATTTGACTATGTGGAAAAGTGCCTATATGGTGGTAATGCTAGTAAGGCAAATAGGACAAATTATCATACCGGATTACTACATCACCAGTTAGCATTTTATATTGTGATGGTTTCAAAAAAATTTATACCTCAAATGTGTATTTTATTTTACAATCAGCTTTGGGATGGGAGAATGGGAGGGTTGGGGAGGGAAGGTTTATTTACCATCACCTCTGATGGGAAACTTCAAAAAACTTCCATATGCCCACTATAAATGTTTCTCTGTTTGCCATTTCTGGTAACTATCATGAACACAGCAACACTTTCATAACTAAATTGGATAGCTTTATTTTACAAAGGTATAGGAAGTTTACAAAGCAGTATCTAAATCTATTGTTAGTTGTATTTGAATTAAATATAATGATATACTTTTGCAATTCTGTAAATAAAAGATCACAAAATATTTGTATTAAAAAAGAAGAAAAGATACATTTTATCTTTGGGTAACTGCACTGGTACTTCACTAGAGTTAATCCCACCCACTCAGATTTAGAAATGAGTTGGGGAATAGGCAAGAAGTCAAAATCTGAAGAGGTACTGGCCTTTTAGACATATTTAGACCCACTAGAATTGTTTTCATATGGCTGATTCCTACCCAGCGAATATTCATGTTTCTTCATCCACAGATGTTTCTCTTCTCCCATGCAAAAGAAAAAGAAAGGAAAAAAATTCCCATTTTTGGCTCACTGTTGTGTGCTGTGTTAGAAACTTGAAAAATACTGATGATGTGGGAGTTTTGTCCCTGAATGCCAGTGTACAGGACAAGAGAGCAGTGTTTCGCTTGAAATTCAGGACTCCTGACTCTGAGGTGGAGGATGATCATTGCAGCACTTGGTTTGGGATTGCCACAGAGACAGCCAGACCAAGGACGGGGCTATCTGTGATGGAAGTATAAGAAGGCTATGAAGGAGAAGGATTGGGTTTACCATTTATTCAGTTTCATCAACTAATTTGTACACCTCTACGACATCAGTGTCAGTTGCTATTGAGAAATTTTTAGTTGGGCTGAGCTGGTTCTCTTGTGAAATCGTGCTGGTTATCTTTAAGCTTATCAGTTATTTGTCCAGTTAAACACTTTTCACCAGTATTTAGTCCGAGTTGTACAGACGATGTATTTGGATTATTGTTATTGTTCATCTACAGACTCAAAACATAATCATTTTAAAGTACCTTGAGAGTGTGTAGAGTGTAACTATTCTATAATAGCTTTATGATCCTGATGATGTTTTTTTAAAAATAATAAAGTTGGATCTTCCATGTTACAATCACAAAATTAAAACCAGTATTTAAAGTGGAAAAGTATTAAAATATTATGGACAAATGTGCTTGCTTGGTTTGTTTTTCCTTAACTCCAAGATACTGCCCTACATAATTCTTCTCTGAGTAATTAAAAGCTGAAGTGCTCCAATCAGTATTCTTAAAAGTGTAGGTTGTTACCTAGTTTAAGAATCAAGTAAACTATTCATGAGTTTCAAACAAACTTTTATTTTTTCCTAAGGCTTTTGCCATAGCGCGCATGCGCCTACTGGAGATGGAATGGAAATGTGAGAAATCACCCCTCAAGGGGAATGATCACGCTGCACTCCCTTCTCCATTCTCCTTGGGATTTGGGGCATAGGCACACAGTGTGGAGAGTCACAGAGTCCAGGACTGGAACTGCGGTCAACCATATGGGAGTCCAGCGCCTTAATGATCACATCACCTGCTAGCCCCACAACCTTTTTTTTTTTTTTTTTAACAAAATACAAAAAGATGGAACATACCAAATATATGGCATGTAATAAAGGTAATATCTTGAGGGGTGTGTGTTTGCGGTGGGTTATATAATTTAAAATTAATGTCTTACTGTGGATTGTCCAAATTTTTTTGAAAGAATTGTTTTATTTAACTTTATTTATTTTATTTGACCAGAGAGGAACAGAACAAGCGAGCGAGACAGAGAAAGTGAGAAAGCAAACCACCAAGTCCGGGACTCAAACCATGATCGGCTCTGTGGGAGTCTAGCATCCTTAACAACCATGCCATCTGCCGGCCCCCTGTACAAATGTTTTAAAAGATTGATAGCGAAGCCACCTATACCCAGGTATTTCTTATATTTATTTTAATTTGTAAGAAGGTGCATGTGCTCTTCTGAGAAAGAGAGGGAAAGTAGGAAAGGGCCACCCCAATAGGGGATGACCAGGCTGTGAAACCTGCTACTGTGACTTTTGTTCTGGTCTGGCCACTTCCACATCCCAATAGTCATCGCTTTGATTGTGCTTTGTCTTCGGAACTACATTGGTAAAGCCCTATGTCATCTCATTACAGTTCTTTCAATAAATGCTTCCAAATCTTGATCCCACTTATTTAAAATTTCCACTTAAAGCTCTGCTTTTGTCTACAGCTGATCTGGGCACAACCGTATTGGCAACCGCTGAGCAGAAAGCTTGCTCCACTGTAATTTTTCAGTCAGAATTGTGTAAAGGTGAACTAATTGAGTTGCCCATATTGTTGGCATCTGTTTCTGCTGTCAGTCGTTAGTCCTCTTCAATTGGAGAACCCAACAACATTTTTTTCCTGGCAAATTGATGTGTATGGTGTGCCCCGCAAATGTACTCTTTAACGTATTGTCCCTTCTTAAAACTATTTACCATTTGTTAACTGATGATTTCTTTGGGACATTGTCCTCATAAACGTTTCATAAAGCATCATGATTTCACCATTCTTCCAAGTTTCACCATAAATTTGTCTATGCTTGCTTTAGTAGAATTCATGTTACTCTGATAAGACCTCTCTTTAAACTGACAGCTTATCCTTCTTAATGCCTCCAAGTAGATCCAAGTTAGCACAAGTTTATCTTGGTGTTGTCGACAGAAATAACCAACTCTGTAAAAATAATGTGGCTTCTTTCTAATCAGAATATGAGTGACCCAGGCCTGGAGAGAAGGCAAAACATGATTTCTCTGGGTGATCAGGTACAGGGGTTCCTTTTATCGATTTTGAGAGCCAGAGACAAAGTTTGGGATTTAGTGAAGAATTTTTCCATTGGTCTGGCCCAAAAAGGCAGGACATGGTGGTGGGGGGGGGAGGGCTTGTAGGTCATAGGTGGATTTTACAATTTTTAGGTTGATGATTGGAAAAGGTTACTGAAACCAGAAAAGAATGTACTTTAACAGAGATAAGGAGGCTTAATATACATCACAAAGATACCATGCCAGGGACAAGATTAGGAAGAAGCTTATCAATGGGTCAAAATGGTCTGTTAATGTTTCTGCCTTGACTCCCCCCAGGCCCTGTGGAAAGGATTATGAAAAATAGGAAAAAGCCGTCAGACTTCTGTCCTCAGTGGACAAGAAAAAAAAAAAACCTTGAGTAGTTTTTTATAATACACATTTTTCATGAACTTTTTGAAGACTCCTTGCATAGAAGTTGATGAACTAGAATAAGCTAACATGCTTGAAGACTGGTACTTTTAGTGTATGGGTCTTAATACTTTTCTTATTGGCTCACAAAATCCCAACATCCAAAACCTACTTCAGGGTCCCAACTTCTGACCTTACTTATGACACTGTTGTAGAGTGCCACCAAATGAACAACCACCAAAGCCAGATTAAGTTTAAAAGAAATCTTTTTTTTAATTTAATTTATTTAATTAATTTAACTAGAGAGGGACAGAGAAAGAGAAGCCAAGCTGCCAGGTCCAGGACTTGAACTGTGGTCAACCATGTGAGAGTCCAGCACCCTTAGCCACCACACCACCTGCTGGCCCCTAAAGGGAGTCTTTATTAGCTCGCCAGTGACTACAGCCTGAGGCTCAGGAGCTGAGAGTCAAAACTGCAGCCCCCACCTGAAGTTTGAGCAGTCCTTTTATAGGGGGTCAGTTACCAGGGGTTTCTATGCAATAGTTACAGAAGCTGAATCAAGCAGGTTAATTATTTCTGAGGGGAGTGGGGTTTCCATGCAAGCAGTTACCTTGCTAAACAAAAGGGTTTCAGGCTAGTTAGCAAAGACAGTAGCAGGTACAAGGTGTCGCCCCAGATGCGGTTTTCTCTATGGCTAGCATAAGCTATTTTCTCATGGAAAGAGCAAGCCGGTTTACAGAAACAGCCAACCATGTTAGGGTAAGGGAACAAAATGGACAAAACTGTTGTTCATGTGCAAGATCTAATATGTGGCCTTCTACAATGCAGAAATGTGGGGGGGGGCACAAGGGTGATCGGGCCCACACTTAGTGAGACATAGGATTTTTGTCTCACGCTCAGGAAGAATGAGTCGCAGGCTCAGAGAGTAGATATAGTAAAGGGGGGAGTTTATTAAAGGAGAGGGAAGGGAAAATAGAGTTCCCAAGAAGGGAGGGGTCCCAGAAAATGGGTTGTCAAAGAAGAACTGTTGCAGGGGCGTTTTATGCGAGTCAGGAAGGGCTTTGTCCGGACTTGGGTTTAATAAGGTGAGGTTTGTGTATGTATTTCCTTCCTGGTAGGGAGGGGCACATGCTGGGTGCATCCAATTATTCTAATTTTGGAGTGGGTACCAAAATCAGGAGACTCTTTGTCTAGAAGCTTTGGGCCCCAATACTGCCTCCATCTCAAAACTTAGCTACTTTGTGATTTTATTTTAAACCTATACCCTAACTATGTTTTTAGGGTCCCTGTCTTCCCTCACTTCCACTAGCCTGTTAGCAGGCCTGTAAACACCTGTTACCACCTCAGTTCTGCATGTGCTTGCCCTTCATACTGGGACTACACCACTGCTATGCCGTTATTCTATTAGTCTAGCAGCTATTCCAATATGCCAGACACAGCCTAGGGAGCCTGGAAACCTCACAGCCCAGGGCCCCCACCTAAGTTCAGAGAGCAATTGTATGTACAATACGTTTAAGGTGGCCACAAAGTAATAGGTGGGGTGGGAGGGAAAGGAAGGAGCAATGGAGCTTGGGGTGGGGGGTGGGGGTTAGAATTTTTCATTTCAATGATAAAGGATAAGGTAAATCTGTCTAAAATATGTTGAGTAAAAAGGACTAGATACAGGAAGTGAGATGCAATTATCTTCTCCTTCCCTGGGTTTAAATTTAGTAATAGAGGCAGAAAAGCAGGGAGTCAAAAGGAAACAAATACTGTGGAAGCCCACAGAGGTTTGGGTTGTAAAGGGCTCATTGTATTGTAGTCAGTCTTGCAGCTGAAGAGGAAGGACAAGAAAAGAGGATTAGCTGTGCCACCTCTGCTGAGAATCCCTGTGGTCTGTGGAATGTACTAGACTATTGCCCAAATTAGATAAATATATCTGGCTCATCACAGCCACTAGAAAAATCTTATACTGGGAACAGCAGGTGACATGGTGGTTAAGGCGCTGAACTTCCACATGACTGACTGAGGTTCGAGTCCCAGACCTGGCATCTTGCTTTCTCACTTTCTATTGCTGATGAATATAAATAATAATAAATAAATTAAAAAAGGAAAAATCTCATACCAGTTTTGGGTGATAGAATGATTGTGTGTGTGTGTGAATAAATATAAAAATAACATTTCGGAGACCATGTATAGCTAGATACAGCCATAGAAGCTGGCTAGTCCAACTATATTTTCACAAATAAAGGAACTGAAGACAAGATAAAAAAAAGTAACCTAAGGCATCAGCTAATTTGTTGCTGAGCAAGAGTTGGAATGGAGATGTCGGGATTTCTAGGTCCCTGAACACTGCCTTCCTCCTTACTGTAAATGTTATTTTCTCTCACGTAAATGTTAATTATTTTAATGTATTGCATCAGCATCAGCCATTCAACAAACACTGAGGACTTTTAATGTAAGGGACTTGTTCTAAGGTAATAAGACATAGTCTCTACCTTCAAGAGACCTCAGTCTGGGTGAAAATGTGGGCAAGATTTACCCTGGAGTACACAATAAAATATCCCCAACTTTGATTTGTACATATTTTTATAATTTTAATTTTTTATTTATAATGTACATAATTCAATATAATTTATCAAGAAATACACATTTATTGTGTTGCTGAAAACCAGACACCAAGGAATGGAAAGCAGCACTTGGAGAGATTAGAACATTATTTCTCCAGTGGGCAGAGTAGTTCACACTCTAAATCTCCAGCCCCCACTGGAGGTTGGCTGGACAGTCTTTTATGGGGTAATTGGGGAAGAGGAGGTCTTGGGGTAGGGAGTCGGTTCAGAACCGGACCAGGCAGAGAAGCAGGAAGACTATTCAAGGTATTAATCTATTCAAAGTACTAATCCACCCAAGGTTTTCAGGTTACCCTGTAGCTCCAGGGAGGGCAGAAAACTTAGTTGGCTATCAGCCCTGAGTTATTCATGAATTCAAGGTCTTTCCATATCAGGAGTGGGGTTTAAAAACAATAGGAGGGTCAGTCACTCTGTTTACTCTTAGACAAAGGAGGAGAGGGCAAGTTTCTAGTCTTAGGAATTTAATAGTTTATAATGGAGGCACCCCTCCAAGATGGAGTCTCACATGCTTCAATTGGGGATGTGCAAAACTAACCCCCCCCCAGAGGTTTTTGCTATTGGGCGCATGTGCTCACCAGACAGAGACAGAGAGATAGAAAGCGAGAAATCACCCCCCAGAGGGGATGGCCATGCCGCAATCCCTTCTCCATTCTCCTCTTGGGATCTTGGGCAGGCACGCACACGCGCCCGGTGTGAGTTTAAGCCACCAGGTCCGGGACTCGAACCGCAGTTGACTACGTGGGAGTCCAGCGACATACCCATTACACTAACTGCTGGTCCCGTGCAAAACTCTTTCGATGGGGTGTTCAAGGTTTGGATTCTGCTAGCCTGCTATATAGGTGCTGCCCTGGGCAAGTTAGATGAGCCTTTCCCCAAAGGGCTTTGCATTTGAAATTGCCATTTTCCAGGCTATACCAGCAAGCCAATGTCAAGCTGTGATTACTTATTAAGTGTTGTGCAGTGTGGAAGGGCATCCAGATCTGTTGAAGAAGCCATGCTCCATGGTGGGTAGGCTGCACTGTATAGATCGGAGAATATTTTGCTATTAAGAGGAAGTTCTGGGACTGGGAACCAGCAGTTAGCATAATGGCTATGTCGCTGGACTCCCACGTAGTCGACCGCGGTTTGGGTCCCGGACCCGATGGCTTAAAACTCACGCCGGGCACGTGTGCGTGCGTGCCCAAGATCCCAAGAGGAGAATGGGGAAGGGATTGCGGCGTGACCATCCCCCCTGGGGGGTGATTTCTCACTTTCTGTCTCTGTCTCTGTCTGACGAGCACACGCGCCCTATAGTGAAAAAAACCTCTCCAAAAAAAAAGTGAGGAAGTCCTAAGAATGAGAGTTTTCTCAGATGATGCCCTAAATCAGAAGAGACAGGCGGCAGTGGGCCAGAACTTAATAGTTTCATGGTAAGAGCCCTTTGAGGGCTCAAGTTTAGACTCTGAAATGGGCAGGAAGGTAGAGGATCCTGTATTCTCCTTCATGAATTTTAGGGCTACAAGAGAGCTAAGGAATGAGGTTCTGTTATCACACATCATGCACAGCTAACACTGGATTTGCTTTACTGTGTGTGACACTTCTACCACATACAATTGCAGTGGATTATAGAGGAATACTGAAAAAGAACTGCTGCAGCTGTATCCTACTCTTCTGTGGTAGACCTTGGTCCATTTTCCCTGCATGATTTCAGGGTCTCATGTCCTTGGGGAAATGTGGTAGGCAGTTAGTCATGAGCGGGCAGCCCTAAGAGAAAAGCAAAAGGACACATGCCGCATCAATCTGGTTTATCCGGAATTACAACCAGACCTTCCATGAGGTATCTTCTCACCTAGCCCCGGGCGCCAGAAGGGCTAGGCAATTTGCCATCTTTCTTCCTTGGTGCCTGAGGGAGGCAACACAGGGATGATTTTCTCTTATCATCCCTCATGAATTCAAAAAGACCCAAGCAAGCATTTTAGTCAACACCCTAATCCCCAAGTAAACTAATTAGGGAGTCTAATTAAACAATCTGGCTCACACTGGGCATGTGCAATTATGTTATTCAATTCCCCATTCTTTACCCGTCAGAAAAGTGCGCATGTGCAAGCGCAGGAGAAAACACTCATATTTGAATTCAAACGAAGTACATAGATAGTATGATAGACCTCCCACCGATATATATCCATGACCACCTCTAGTAATAATAAAGAACAAGCAGTACCAAACGCAGTTGGCACCTGGCAATCTGCCAGCCCAAGAGCCTTTTGGGTGTACTTCCTCTCTTCCTATTAAATCTTCTTTTCTACCTACTTCATTCGTGGTTGCAGTTTCATTTTGTGCCCAGGGACAGATCTCTAATTTTAGTGATCTGGACCCAAAGAACCAAGGACTTCACAAGGCAGCTCAACACTCTCCCTTCTGTTGACAATTCTCTCCATGGGTGTTTTCCAACTTTGTGTTTCTAAATAAACATGATTTTTTTGCTTATTCATCCTAAAGTGTATGTACGGGTCCCATGCCTTGAGGGTCTGGTCATGCCTCTGTCTCCTTCCTCTAGACCTCTAACCTGTTGGATCTTGGGCACTCCATATGCACCATTCAAACCCAACATTTCCTAGCAGCACCTTAGTGCTGTGCCAGAGGCCCTAACCACAACTTTCTAATACCAGCAATGTCAGATACCTGATGCAGAAATCTGGACTATCCCAGCAGCAGCCCCTGTGAATCTGTTGAACTGCCCAATCTCTGGCCCCAGCCTAGCCCAGGAGAAATCGGAAACACTGGGCAGGCCCAGTCATTTGTTTGAACAGACCCTCCAGAGGGGTCTGGAGCACTGAAGTTTCGAGAACAGTGTTAGAGCACTCTGGTATTCTGCCTCCAAACTCTAGTCATTAGCACAGGCTTCTTTTTGTTGGCATTAGAGAGCAGCTGTTAGAAAACTCAACTCCTGATGCTTTTTTTTTTTTTTTTTGGAGAGATTTTCGCTGTAGGGTGCGTGCGCTCGCCAGACAGACAGAGAGAGACATATAGACAGAAAGCGAGAAATCACCCCCAGGGGGGATGGTCACACCGCAATCCCTACTCCTCCATTCTCCTCTCGGGCTCTTGGGCACGCACGCACACGCGCCCGGCGTGAGTTTTAAGCCACCGGGTCCGGGACACGAACCGCGGTCGACTACGTGGGCGTCCAGCGACATAGCCATTATGCTAACTGCCGGCTCCCAACTCCTGATGCTTTTTTTTTTTTTTTTTGGAGAGATTTTCGCTGTAGGGTGCGTGCGCTCGCCAGACAGACAGAGAGAGACATATAGACAGAAAGCGAGAAATCACCCCCAGGGGGGATGGTCACACCGCAATCCCTACTCCTCCATTCTCCTCTCGGGCTCTTGGGCACGCACGCACACGCGCCCGGCGTGAGTTTTAAGCCACCGGGTCCGGGACACGAACCGCGGTCGACTACGTGGGCGTCCAGCGACATAGCCATTATGCTAACTGCTGGCTCCCAACTCCTGATGCTTTTTGTGTACACAATGAAACAGGCATCTGTTAAACTTAAAACACACCTTTGTAAACCAAATCATCAGCCACCTTCTCTTGGTTTCCAGTGGAGAGGCTACCCATCATTTTTGCCAAAAGGCAAAGTTTATTAATAAATTCTAGCCTTGTCTAGCATAGGAGCATAGTTTGAAGAACAACTGATCTTGAACAAAATCTCTACAAGGAATATAATGCTTACTTCCACCTCCTGTACACACAGTGGCTTGGTATTAAAGGTGTTTTGTTGTGTCCTCAAATTTGAGTTGACTTTCCTTTTTTTTGCTGTAGGATGTATAAGCTCCCCACTGAAGACAAGAAATAAAGTGAACACATCCCCAAGGAGAAATGGTCATACTGCAATTCCCTCTCCTTCCTTCTCCTCTCATACAGCGTGTGCCCCCCAGTGAGTCCTTCAAGTCGCCAGGTCTGGGACTGGAATCACGATCAGTCATGTGGGATCCAGCTGCTTCAACCTCGACACTATTTGCTGGCCCTAAGCTCAGATTCTTCAATGTGAGAGTTGGATTAAACCTGAACTGATAAATCTAATTCTAAGAAGGATGATTTTTTTTCTCTTTTTTTTTTTGGAGAGATTTTCACTGTAGGGCGCGTGCACTCGCCAGACAGACATGTCCAGCGACATAGCCATTACGCTAACTGCTGGTTCCCGAAAGATGATTTTTTAAAAAGTTGCCAGAGGGCACATGCACTCACCAGACAGAAAGGAGGCAAGAAAGCACCCCTCCCCCATGGGGAATGGTCATGCTGCAATCCCTTCTCCTCCATCTCTCCCTCCTTTTGTGATTCTGGGCACACCTGCTCATGTGCTCGCCATGTTTCTCCAGCCACCTGGGCTGTAACTCAAACCTCATGGCCAGCCATGTGAGATCCAGCTGCCGTAAACACGCCATTATACTGGCTCAAGACAGATTATTTTAATGCACATACAATACCAGCCTGGTGTCACTGTAGAGTTGGAGAATACAGTGGAGAATGACAAGAGGTCATGTGACTCCTCACATTAACCACAGGTTACCACCACTATGGCCAGACTTTACAAACTTCCAGGATTCAGGTCCAGGGCTAATTCCAAATAAAAGAGGTTACTGTTTACACTTATCAACATTAACTTCCTTTTCATATTTACTGAAAGTGGGAAAAAGTACTGTGTAACAAAATGTATACAATTTAGTAGTAATTGTACAAAACACTGATATTGGTTACAATCACCAAAATGAACACTGGATATGCTTTTCACTGCCACTTCCATGGAAAGCTCTGATAAATAAAAAGTCACTGGCTGAAATGTCACAACAGAAGCAATTTAAACTCTACATACAACAGAAAAGGTAAATCTTCCACAATGATAGCGACAGCGCAGACACAATCGCCAAGACTCTCCATGCTGCTGTGGAGTTACTGCAGTGTTCGTCAGAGTACACCTTCTACACGGGGCAATCAGCTTTCCAAGACCAACATTTACAGCATTAGACGTAATACAAAATAAGGAATTCTTTATTATTTATACAAAACTTGTACATTAAAAAAAAAATTAAGATTCTACAACTCGACTGACCCCCTGAGGAAGCTAAGAACTTTAGTGGTTCCACCAAAGAGGCCCTGTGTGAATTTCGATCACCTCCTGGCCACAGGAACAAGGCCCCCAGCTCCAGGGCTGTTCCCATGGCTCCTTCATGGGCTCTGCAAGCCTACTCTCCTCTCATTAGGCTCAGTAAGCAAAACCAGGGCTTCCTGGACAGCATCAAAGAACATCTTCTCTGGCCCAAGTTAGAGTGTTTTATCAGTAGATAAGTTGATTTTTGTCTTTATTTCTTGAACATGTCAATAAATTCCTAGCTTAAGAAGCTTTATTACAACATATACAGATTTCATACAGTTGTTTACAAAAAAAATCTGAAATTTTCAGCTAAATAAATTGTCTTTTACAAAATTAAGGTTGGCTTAAAGAAGTGATACTTTCCTTTTAAAATTATTTCTGCACAGTTCTCCAAGAGATCAGACTAGGTTATACTTGGCAGTCACCCTGCTCTAAGCAATATGAAGAGTTTGGAAATCTCTAGAAAAGAACACAAAATTCTTTCTTAAAGCCTGATGCTGAAAGACACATCACAACCAATCTAGACTAACTTTACATTTGGACAAGAGGCCTCTTTCTCCAAATAGGCTGCAGAGATAAATGCAGTGATTTGTTTTCTTGATAGAGAACTATGTAGCACTGCTTTACACATTATTCTGTACTATGGGATAAGAGTAATCCTTCCTTTAAAGAAAGCAGGTCCCCTTCTGAAGAATAATGTTGATTAACCGCCCCCCTCTAAAAATTGAAATAGACCAGCACCAAAATGAAGTATTAGTTTACAAAAAATAAAATTAGCTCTTATTTCTTAAAGGTCTACATCCCAGACTTAATAAATTAACTATAAAATCAGGAGTTTTGTCAGCTACAGTATAATTTAAAAATACATTTACAACCCACAGAGGGTGAGAGGCAAGGCAGTCACACTGATACACTGATCACATGATCATCAAAAACAACAACAAAAACCCACTTTTGCTCCAGCTTGTATTTGCTTTCAGAGTGAGCTGTGGATTACCATCTGTGATACTTCAGAATGTAATATTCATGTTGAGAGCTTTCCAAAGAGCACAGCATATAAAGCACTAAAGTGTTTTCCAGTCTGAGGATCTGCATGGACAGGACCTCAGACCTCTCTGAGAGTCCAAAGCCAAGCAGTCGTCTCACTGATCCCGTCTATTCACCATCCTCAACAAGACTCTGCATTGAGCTTTTTAATTCACAGATTTTTATGTTAGTCCTTTAGAACCCAATGCCCGTGTTTCTGCTCACAACTGGCAGGCTACTCAAGCTGCCTTCTTGGTGCAAGTTCCTTGTAGGTCTTGTAAATTTATCTTTGACCTATAGCACAAAAAGACAAGGTAGTAATATACAAAATAAATCAGGAATGCAGAATTTTAATTTAATTCATTTCTTAATACTGCATTTTTTTTCTCTTTTTTTGGAGAGGTTTTTGCTATGGGGTACGTATACGCGCCAGAAAGAAAGTGAGAAATCACCCTCTGGGGGGCTGGCCATGCCACAATCCCTTCTCCTTCATTCTCCTCTCAGGATCTTGGGCATGCACGTACACGCGCCCGGCATGGGTTTTAAGCCACCAGGTCCAGGACTTGAACTGCGGTCAACTACATGGGAGTTCAGCGACACAGCCATTACGCTAACTGCTGGTCCCAATGCTGCATTTTTTTTTTTGAGAGGTTTTTTTGCTATAGGGTACGTGTACTCTCCAGACAGAGATAGAGAGACAGAAAGTGAGAAATCACCCCCCAGGGGAGATGGCCACGCCACAATCCCTTCTCCTCCATTCTCTTCTCGGGATCTTG